TTCAAATGGTGCAACTAAGATAAATGTTTATTTTACTGAAAATATTTGCAAAATTACAATATAAATACATGGTTATATTAAGGTAGGATGACTATATATAATGTATTCTTATCCACAGTTATAAAATGATTGCAGTAAATATAGCACACTCTTGATGAATTTCTAGTACACAGTGTTTCTTATTAAAGTACATACAGCCTACTATTAAGTAACAATTACCTAGTTTTCAAATGTACATCTTAGGAAGTTTTCAGGATGGAAGGATACACTAAATCCCCCAAAACCATTTTTGGTTGGTGAAGGTTAGTATGCTGGCAATTTTGAAATTACATCATATTTATTTTGCAATTGTTATTAAGCTCTTTGTATTTCTTTAACTTAAAACTGTATTTCTTTAATTTGGCTATTTCCTTAATAAAGCCACATCAGTTAATCATTTTTAATTCTAGTATAGTATCATATACTAAGTTTTCATTAGTTACTTAAATACACAGCAACAATGAAACAGTATCATTAAAAACCTTTTTTGTTTGCACAAATTCTCAAATTAATTTTCCAAGGATTATGGGGAATTTCCATTCTATGTATAGTCTCAACTACAATATTAAGCTGGGCTAGAAATGCTTTTTTATTGGTTCTTGTTCTTTTAGAGTACAAATAGGAACCCCTTTGCTGAATGCATTTGGATTTGTTTTAAAAACATCTTCTACCCTTCTCTGTTACACCCACCTAATGGAAACCTGTTACGACAACAGGTCCAACACAAACATGCATGCAAGAGTTCATTCTATAGTTTCTAACTACAGTTACTGAAACACATTTCCCCGGTCTAGTGACATAAATGTACATCTGTTATATACAAAAGGTAAAGTGCATTATTAAATTAGTGAACTGACAGATTGTCTGCCTGGACCATATAGCTTTCAAATAGACAAATGTGAAATTCTCAAGCTAGAACCAATTATTTCAAGAGGTTCCAACTAGCTTTTCCACCCTGTCATTTATTTTTTGGCCATGCTCTTTAGTGCAAATAAGCTTGTGTTTGACTCAAGTTTAAGGGACATGGCAGCTTGGGGCTTTAACAAAAAACATTATAAAATGTGGCAGAACTTTAATACTTTTATAATACATTGCATCTTTTGCATATAAGCAACAGATTAGTGCTGCTTGCAATTGCTAGGAGCACACTGCCAACTATTACAAGGAACCCGTTTCCAAATTTCATACTATTAGCTTAGATTATTACAGTTTTGAGTATGTACCACATTATGCTTGAATTAATATGTGCAAACATCATCAGTGTTTTAGAATTATACAATGAGCTAGTAATTTTGGTTACTAAAGTGAATGCTCATTTTTTGACTCGTAACATCCAGTTGTCCTAAGAGTTTAATGTCCTAAAGGCAGGGATCCTATTACTCTGAAGGACACCATGTACACTTGCAGCTTCATTATGTTACAAATGACAATAAATAAAATGTATATTGCACAGATAAGAACAGTAGCTTATTTTATAAGATACATGGCATTGCACATCCTAATACCAGAGTTTTGAACTGGACCTTATTTCTTAGCTTATGGCTAGTGAATTCTTGGGAACTTTAAGCATAAACAAATCAGCATCATTTCATTATTTCCATTGAATTATCCATGAACTATGGAAAATGAAACAAAAAGACTGGCAGATGGCTTACTGGTTCTAGAGTATATTCAGTTGCCGGCATATATGCATCTATTCAATCTGCAGCTTTGAGGTGGTAAAATCTTTGAAGTATACATATGTGGTAGAAAAGTCGGCTGTTTGACTTTACTTAATGAAAACATTAAACAAATAATATTTAAATATGATGAACTAAAGATATCTTTCTTTAAGCCTGATATAATACATATGTGTATATGTGATCCTCAGTGAGATGAATTGACATTCTGGATGGAACAATGGGCTCAAACAGGACAACAATTATGAGAATGGTGTAGGACCAGGCAGTGTTATGTTCTGTTGTACACTGGGTCACTATGAGTTAAACCAATTCAACGGCACCTAACAACCATATGTGTGTATAGGTTTATATATACAGAGATATATGCAAACACATATACGTACATACATATATCACATACTCAAATCTTATCTGACTAAAGATGACAAAAGAAATCTTTTAGACCTAATTGATGTAAATATTTCAGAAAGGAAGGTTTTAAGAGAGTATACACTTATAGGAATAGTGGTAGGGACAATCAAATACTGCAGTAGTCACAGTTCCAGTTTGCCCAAATCTGACAGGTGGATATTCTTAGTAGGCACTATTAAGGGCAGCAATAACAATCAGTAGTACAGTAATTCAAGTGCACACTACTCCATGTACCCAAAACTTTTTTTTTTTAGCAAGCCTACAGTTATTTTACATTTAAGACTTCTTAAAAACCCTTGCTATTTTTAGAGTCTCAACACCCACCATGTGCTTTTAACTCTAGTACTAACATTATCTCCTAACCTTCAGTTGTTCTATAGTGATCCATATGGGCCACAATTATAATGAACTAATGAGATTCCTTCATGCGTTTTGAAATATAATCTGCACACCAACACCAGCATATATATCTGGATTATGGATTGTTCTTCAGTAGCATAAGCCAATGAAGTTCATTTTCTTAGTTCGTAGTGTAATTTTTTTTAAAACTGACATTACATGTATCTAAGAATAAACCATAGAGGAAAGGTATCATCAAAATAATTTTGAATTACTTAACCCATAAATCTATTGTCGAGTCTATTCTGATTCATGGCTACCCTACAGGGCAGAGTAGAACTGCCCCATAGGGTTTCCCAGGCTGTAATCTTTACAGGTATGGGAGAAAGATGTGGCACTGATTCTTTAAAGGTCTAAAGCCTTAGAAACCCCTACGGGTATTTCTAATCTTTCCTATGGGGTTGCTGCGTCAGAATCAACTGGATGCAATGGGTTTGAATTGGTTTTGGAGTCTTTATGGAAGAAGATGGCCACGTCTTTTCCTGAGAAGCTGCTGGTGGGTTTGAACTGATGACCTTTTTGGTTCATAGCCTTCTGATCTCAATCCATGCAGCCAACTCTCATCAATAATAGTTGTATTTGGGGGTTGAAATCAGTGCCCGGTTCTAAAACACAAGAATCCCCAAACCAATTCCTGGCCTAGATTTCAACTCATAGCAACCCTATAGGGCAGAGTAGAACTAGGATTGCTCCATGCCGTTTCCCAGGCTGTAAATCTTTATGGTCTCAGACAGCCTCTTTCTCCTGTGGAGCAGCTGGTAGGATCCAACTAGCAACATGTTGGTTTGCAGCCAAGGGCTTTAACCACTGTGCTACCAGAGCTTCCTTTAGACATGGTTGTATAGACTTACTGTGTGGAAGATGAATAAAGCCAAGCTAAAAGACAATTATTTGTATTCAGGATAAAATGTAGGTCAACAGATGGAATTTCAGTTCATTAAAACTAGGTGAGTTGGTACACACACAAGTATATTCATTTGTTTAAAAAATTGTTTAGATGTTGAAAAATTACGGTGGTACTTCCTGGAAGGTAAATTGGTGAATCTTATGTAAAGTAAACCTCTTTACATATTATAAAGAGCACCTTGGAAAATGCCTGAAGTTTCCTTTCAAATATATCTATAACCAATCTTCAAATAATATTTTTCCTAGACTGAAAATCTGTATTCCAAATTTCTTTAAAGAAAAAAAATGTTTTTTTTTCCCCTTTGGAATTATAAGACCTGCCAAAGTCAGGTTTATATTGGAAGTGTTGACATGGTTTTAAGGGTAGCAATTGCAAAAATGTTACTAAAATACATTAATACAGATTTAACAGGTGCACCAATCCTTCTGAAATAGTCTTAAAGAAGAAACTCATAACACCTTGAGTCCATGACACATTTTTAAAAAAAACCCTCACAACCTTCAAATTAGCACAAAAAACTAAAACATTGACATTTCCATAGCAAAGTCATAGGATGATGCCTCCCACTTAGCGGTGACATAAAAGCAATTTCTGAAACTTTGGGATGTCAATAAAAATTTAAGGTACAATAAGCAGAGGTGAAGATGGATTTGTAACTAACTTAGAATAACCAATTAAATCTCTCCCATGGCTTTGATATGGTAATTAAAAACCATAGGGTTACCACAAAATTTGAAATTATAGGAAACTTCAGTAGCTCTTAAGAAATATTATAACACTATATTTTGGGGTTTTTTAATTAGCTAGTAAGATTTGAGCCTTTGATGGCACTGTTTAATATTTAGTTATCCAATGGACAATTAGGATATTTCTGCTTTTGTTTTTATAAATAAACATATTTATACTATGCCTAAGGTCAATTTCTGTTTCTGTGGTAACTGTCCTACAGTCAGCTTAGCAGTCTTTAATGAAGTAGGAATGGAATTCTTTTTTTGGGAACTTGTGAAATAGAAATTCACACTTCCAATACTAAGTATGTATCTTTTTTCCCCCTCAGGATTATGTCATAGTGCAATGTAAACCTTAGTTACAGTATTAGAAGGTCAGAATGTCACATTTTGTGCTGATTGGCATACTTCAAAAGTCTGGAGCAGTTTGAAGCAGCTAAACTAGTTAGCTCTGGGAAGGTTGTTATTTCCCGAAGAATTATAGTGATCTATGATAACATAACATGAGAATCGGACTCCTTGAAGTTTAAATTGCTCGAGGTATTACTACTAACAAAGGGACAAAAAAGAGGAAATTTTCTTCAAACGACTATGGATCAGTACTTCTAGCCAATTTATGATTTTAAATTTTGCCTGATGGAGTTCAAATTCGCTCTAGTCGAGGGACTCTTGTTCTTCACCACTGGCCCTTCTGCCATCCATCCTCTTTTCTTTATGGCTGTTGCAAATTTTCCTCATCTCTTCTTCGTACTTGATAAAATTCTCCCCAAACCTTGTCCATGCTTTGAATGGAACAGTAATAGTATTACGGTAAGGTGGCCTCACCTCACTTACCTTCAGGAAAATGCCATATTTATTAGAGCCCACATCAAAGTAGAACCTTTTACTGTCCACTCTGAAAGAAGTCCCCTCTGGAAGCTCAACGGGATCACCATCTGCAACTCTTCTTTCTTCTGTGTCCCCTTCGCCATAGTCTTCAATGAGCTGGACCAAGGCATCGCGAAACTCAATCATTCCTTGTGCTGGGAGGACAATGGTCTGTTCCTGGCCCAAACTGTGACCAAAATAACCTATCATGCCAGTCCCCCGCAGCATGGTTTGTCGAATCCTTAGGAAGCGACCCCGCTGGTTTTCCTTGAGGTCCAGGTAGTATTTCCTATTGTCCCTCTCGATATAGTCCGTCTTGAGGACGCTGTGAGAGTGTTCCTCGGACCCCACCGAGACTGGTGGGGAGGGTGCTGCGTGCTTGGGTCTCCTCCTGGAGCCTTGCTCTTTGCTGTGGCCGTGCTCCTGCCGGTGGCCTTTCAGGCCCAAGTGGGCGTAGTGCTCGATGAAGTCTCCTAGACAGTCCTTCAGCTCCGCTGCCACCGACAGCGAGAGGGTCAGTTTACTCTTCCTGATATTGTCCTGCCGGCCTCTCCCTATCCAGACTTCGGCTATCTTTAGAAAGCGGCCCCGCGAGCTCTGCTTCACGTCGAGGTAAAACCTCTTTTTCTGGATGTCCACTCGCTTGGAGGCCAGCTCCTGGATTTCGGCCGCGCCTCCGGACTGATTCGGGGTGGCCGAGGCTGTGTAGTGGGGGTAATGGGGGTGCTGGGCCTGGGGGTAGAGCCTGCTCTTGCTTAGGCCAGAGCCCCCTAC